CCCGAGCGCATTCGGCCGGCTCCCCCTGCCATTATGGTCGCCACTCACCTTCCAAGCTGGCTCGTTCGGCCGCCAGCCCGCAGGATCTGCCTGCATCGATGGCCGCCTCGCGTCGCCCTGTGCCCCGCTGGGATGCCCCGCTTGCGACCGGCAGCCCAGGGCCCCTCAAGCATTTTGCCCGCCCTCATCCCCCCCCCCGGCACTGGCCTCCTAGCCCGATGCCTGGCATCGCCCTGCCCTCCGTGCCCCGGGGACCGCCAGTCCCGCTTCCACCCACCGGCGCACCCCCCCTCGGCGTGTCGGACACGCCCATGCCCCCGCTCCTGGAGGCCATCGTGCGGGGAGATCGGCCCCTCTTCCAAGCTGCCGGGGCCCTGGCAGAGGTCGCCGCCGGGTGTCCGTGCATTCCTCCTCCGAGAGCGAGCCACCCATGGCGAGGTGCACCCGCGCGTGGGCATGCGCTCGCCCTGCCCTGTGACCGGAGGGCCACCACGCCGGACGGCCAGCTGGGGCTGGCGGCCGCCGGAGGCACCAACGGTGTGCCCCCAGCTCGTCCGGCGCACAGTGGCCATCCCGTTGCAGATGCGGTTCAGGCTCTTTTCGAGCGTCGGGCCCACGGCGGCCGAGGCGTCCCCACCGGCCGGTGTGCCCCCGCTCTCTCTCTCTCTCTCTCTCTCTCTCTCTCTCTCTCTCTCTCTCTCTCTCTCTCTGCCGGAGATTCTCAGATGCCCATGGGCCGGCAGGCGTGCGTGTGTGCGCACGCCTGCCCCCGCACCGAAGAATGCATCCCCCAGTGGGAGGCGCCCCGTCAGGCAGCCGCGCGTCCGGGCGGCCGAAGACTCGGCCCGCCCTGTGTCCCTCCCCAAGCGCAGATAGCAGAGGGCCACCCGCACCTCGAGGCCCGTTGCAGGGCCCCCCCTGCCAACTCCTCTGCACCTCCGGCCGGCGCGTCAAGGAGAGAGAGCAAAAAACAGCCTGGGGCGCGGCCTCCCCTGCCCCGGCGGCGGCGGCGGCGGCGGCCCCCTCCTCTCCCCCGGGGCTCGCGCCCGGCGTGGAGACGCGCGCGCGCGCGGTCCCGCACACGCGGGCAAAAGAAATGTGCTCATTGGGTGGATCGAACACCCGACCTCCAGTTTACTAGACTGGCGCTCTACCACTGAGCTAAACGAGCTGGGCACATGTCCTTCGCAGGACTGGCGGGTCTTTTCAAGTGCGCGCGCGCGCACGCGTGCGTGCTCTCCGGAACGCGCAGGCGGCCAAAAAGAAGGCAGCCCGCTGTGGGGCTCGAACCCACGACCCTGGGATTAAGAGTCCCATGCTCTACCAACTGAGCTAAACAGGCGCTGACAGCCCTCGCACCGAGGTTATATATAACCCACACATTTCCCCGCCCCCGCCCGGCAAAAGAGACCAGTGGCCCCAGCCAGGATCGAACTGACGACCTTCGCGTTATTAGCACGACGCTCTAACCAACTGAGCTATGGGGCCTTGGGGGGTCGGCCGCGTCCAGGCGCCAAAACCGGCGGCGCTCGCGCCGCCCGAGGAGAGCCCGGCCCCGCCCTGCCCTCCTCGCCGAGATGTCCCGGAGGGCCTAGACCCACCGGCTCGCTCGCTCGCTCGCCCGGGCCTGCCCAGGCCTGCGAGGCATTCTCGCGCCCAGTGGCAGGGTCAGGCTCGGCAGGGCACTCGCGTGCCGGCAGCCGCCCCGGCGCTCCTCCCCGGCCCCCTGACGAGACAACTGCCCGAGGAGCCGCCGGCTCGCGGCACCACAGCTTTATTGTGCGAGCCTCCCCCCCCTGCCCTCCTCTCGTACATACACATGCACGCATGCACGCATGCACGCATGTACGCATGTACACATGCACGCATGCACGCATGTACGCATGTACACATGCACGCATGTACGCATGCACGCATGTACGCATGCACGCGTGTACACATGTACGCATGTACGCATGCACGCGTGTACACATGTACGCATGTACACACACATGTGCGCACACACACACGCGCACACACACACACACACACACACACACGCACACACACACACAC